CTCTCTCTCTCTCCATCTGTGTTCATTACATTCACTGAAACATGCTGCATTCAGCCGGATACTGTATCCCACAATGCAGTGCACTCACAACGGTTTAAAAAGTGCTAAATCACTTTAGTTTTCTGCGGAGTTATAGATTAGCGTGGCTGTGTTCAGTAGGTCATGTGACCGCAGTGTTGCTGCATACAGTTTCATATTCATGTTTTAAATAACATTTCTTTACACTTTATTTGATCAGACTGCCTTATTATTATTATTATTATTTTATTATTATTATTATTATTATTATTATTATTATTTTGTTTTCCACAAAAATGTGACTGCCAAAATGTTTTTTTTTTTGTTACAAAAAAAGTGAAATATCTACTTATTTGACCTTTTTCTTTATCAGTTAATCACTCATTTTAATCATTATTTTCTCCTTTTTGACTCATTATTGTTTTTTTTTATTTATTTATTTTATTATTTTTACAAAAAAAGTTTGTAAATGTGAAATATCTATTTAATTGACTGTTTATTTCTAAATGAATCATAGTCATTTTAATAATATTTTTTTCTCCTTATTTTCTCAGTATTTGATCAAATTGCCAGAGGTTAGTTTTAAAAATACAAAAACATTATTTATTTTTTCTTGCTGAATAAAACATCAGTGCAGTCTTGTTAAATTAAGTAATACATTTAATACAATTTTAATTAATTTTAAAATATAAAAAAAAAAAATTTTCATTTTCATTTTTTTTAATATTTTTGCACAAGTTTTTACACAAAATTAGTCTTAATTAAATAATAGTAGTAGTTACAAAATAAATAAATAAATAAATAATAGTTACAAAATAACTAATTTTTGAGGGTTTACTGATATATCCTGTTGTATATTCAGTTATTAGCAAAATAGATTATTTTTATATTTGGCTCATTATTTTGTCTTGTCATCAAACTGCCAAAACATGTAGAAACAAACAAAGATTTGTTTCTTGCAGAACTAAACGCACTGCAGTCATGCAGATCACGTGACATCAGCACTTATGCAGCAGATACTGCAGACTGTTGTGAAGTGTTTTTAAATGTGCTGAAAGAGCAGATTGTGAATAATAGACAGCTTTCATTAGTGTGACGGCTCCTGAAGCGGGAAGTCTGTCAGCTGTGCTTCATTCGACTGTCATCAGCGTGAGACAGCTGTGTGGGGCCCCAGCAGGTGGTTCATGGGTAAAGTCCTGCTCTGTGTCCCGTGTGTGTACGTGAAGGTCTGGCGGAGCTGGGGACGATGTGCGACCCGTTCCGGAGCTGCTCCATCAGCGAGGAGAACGGCCTGAGCGCGTCCTTCACCATCGCTCACGAGCTCGGACACGTGTAAGTCCCCCGAAAGAGCCCCGCTTCAGTGACACAGAGCCGGATCCGTGTGTGTGTGATATTCCTCTCATGCATGCGCCGCAGCGGGACGACGAGGTCAAAACCAAAGCACAATACACTAACATTTACAGTCTGTCCTCCGAACGCACTGCAACAAATGATGCTGTTTATCAGTATTTTTGTCTTGTTTTCAGTACAAATTTAAAGTTTCATGCATAAATCAAGATGCATTTTCTTGGGTATCAAAATGACATTAAAAGCTCACGCTTTAAGAGAAATGGTTTCTGGAAAAAATGCATCAAAATTAAGTGCCTTTATGCTTAAAAGAACAACACATATCTGCCAGCGGCGTCAGAAAAATACACTGGTTTTCTCTTTGAATTAAGTTTATTTTTCTGACCACATTGGCAGATTTGTTTTTTCTACTTCTAGCTTAAACTCACTTCATTTTTATACATTTTTCAGAAAACAAGACTTAATATCATCAGTCATTTTGCAGCTTAAGCGAAGGGATCTTAATTTAAGAATGTTTAGATATGTTTGCGCTGGAAAACAAGACAGAAATCAGAGGTGATTCGGATCCATTGAGAGTGATTCACGAGTCTTTAACGTTGATCAATTTCATCTTTTGTTTGTTTCATAGCTAAAAGTGCTTTCATTTGGATGTTTTGCAGAACATCTGGCACCTCAGTTTCTCTGTCCGAAACTCGGCAAGCCGTTTGACTCCGTAGAGCACGATATGACTTTTCTAAGCAATAGTTCACCTAAAAATGAATCTTTGTCATCAATTATTCATCCTCATGTTGGTCCAAGCCTGCTCTTTCCATACAACAAAACTGATATAAACCAGGTCTAAAAAATGACAAGACCTCTCTATGAAAGTGCATAAACGCAGTGTGAACATTGTGCTTTTGCGGTCCACTGAAGAAATGTGGTTTGAATGACTCGGGTGTGAATAAATGATGACAGAAGATTCATTTTTTGCTCTGATCTGATCTGCTGTTGACAGTCACACATTACGGCACTAACACATAATTATGGAAATCTGTTTGCACCACGTAACATAATATCAACCTTTTTTCCTCACAATTGTGAATTTATAACTCAAAATATAATGTAATTTTAGCAAAAAAACTCACAAAAGTCTCTTGCGATTCTGCCTTTTTTCCCGGATTTCGTAGTCTGTCTCGCAATTCTGACTTTTTTTTTGTTTTTTTCAAACCTCTGAGTTTCCATCTCGCAATTTATTTATTTTTACTGGAATTCAGAATTTAGATCACAATTTTGACTTTTTTTCCTCCAAATTTGTAGTTCGTGTCTAGCAATTTTGACTTTTTTATTTTTCTTAATTCTGACTTTAATTCTCACAATTTTTACTTTTTCTCAGAATTCTGAGTTTGTCATGTTTCTGTCTTTTTGTTTCCGCCAAGTAATAATAAAAAAAGGATTATTAAAGAGATGGTTCACCCAAACATGAAAATGACCCCATGATTTACTCACCCTCAAACCATCCTAGGTGTGTATGACTTTCTTCTTTCAGACGAATCCAGTCGGAGTTGTATTTAAAAATGTCCTGGCTCCTCCAAGCTTTATAATGGCAGTGAGTGGGTATTTCTTGTCAATAGTCCAAAAGAAGTCCAATAAAGCGCATCCATCCATCATAAAAAGTGCTCCACACTTATTATGAATTAGAAGCACAAAACGAGGATTTGTAAAGAAGAATGTGGGAGGTTTTCGATATAAGCCAAGAGGAGACTGGTTTTCCTTTGCTAAAGTAAGGAAACTTTGCTTCCTTTGCTCCTGTTAACAAACGTTGGTTCTCGCGAGACCAGCATATTCTCACCGGAGCTTACGCTACGTCATCCGCCGGAATGAACGCGCGTACGACAGTTAGCGCAAGCTAGAGGATACGGTTTATAGTTTTAAATAAGGATATTTTTCTTACAAAAGCGCATTGATTTGCTTCAGGAGGCCTTTATTCAGCCCCCGGATCTGTGTGAGGCACTTTTTATGATGGATGGATGCGCTTTATTGGACTTCTTTTGAACACACACACACACACACATCTTTCTCATATCTTCATGTGTGGCAGTGCAGATGTGTGTGTGAGGAGCGTCTGATGAAGCTCTGCTGTGGACTGTGTGTGTTTCAGGTTCAACATGCCTCATGACGACAGTCCAAATATGTATGTTTTATTTTATTTTAGATATATTTAAATTACCAAAAATGATTTGTAAAGGTTTTTGTTTTAGTTAACAATAACGCAACTGAGTTTAGGTTAGGGTTTCATGAAACTAATAATTAATTAGATCATAAAAATGTGAAATTAATATAATAATAATTAATAAATATATATATTTTTAAATAAAAACATTAAATATTTTACTTTATTGTAATATATATTATAACAAAATATTTATTTAAAATTATTTTTTTAATATTTATATTAAAAAACGAGGATTTGTAAAGAAGAATGTGGGAGGTTTTCGATATAAGCCAAGAGGAGACTGGTTTTCCTTTGCTAAAGTAAGGAAACTTTGCTTCCTTTGCTCCTGTTAACAAACGTTGGTTCTCGCGAGACCAGCATATTCTCACCGGAGCTTACGCTACGTCATCCGCCGGAATGAACGCGCGTACGACAGTTAGCGCAAGCTAGAGGATACGGTTTATAGTTTTAAATAAGGATATTTTTCTTACAAAAGCGCATTGATTTGCTTCAGGAGGCCTTTATTCAGCCCCCGGATCTGTGTGAGGCACTTTTTATGATGGATGGATGCGCTTTATTGGACTTCTTTTGAACACACACACACACACACATCTTTCTCATATCTTCATGTGTGGCAGTGCAGATGTGTGTGTGAGGAGCGTCTGATGAAGCTCTGCTGTGGACTGTGTGTGTTTCAGGTTCAACATGCCTCATGACGACAGTCCGAAGTGCCGCGAGGCGGGGATCAAGCATCAGTTCCACGTCATGGCCCCGACGCTCAACTACGACACCAGCCCCTGGTCCTGGTCCAGATGCAGCCGCAAATACATCACGGATTTCCTGGAGTAGGTGCTCGTCACATCTCCATGAGTTCCGGCCACTCTGGGTCCGTTTACATCAATGAGAGTCCAGTTAGAGTGAAAGTCTCTTTGAAAACGTTTGTTGCTTGACTGCAGGAAAATTACACAAAATCCAACTTAACTTGGAATCTGGTTTACATGGTTTATAGTTGGTCGGAGATGGTTTAGGCAGCGTTGCTTTAGTGTTATTTATATACTATTGTAGTATTTGTTAAATATTTTAAATTTTTTAAATATTTTATAAAAATATTAATTTTATATTTTCATTTTAATTTAAGTTTT